GCAAATGCCGAGTTGATTTCCCTCTTACTGTGTCAACTTTACATCAATTTCTGGAAACTCAGATGCATCTAAATTGTCATTGCATGGCACAGGGTTCCATTTTGAGAAACAATGATTTCCCGTCGAAATTGGTTCACTGTGAGTAATTGTTCAACTGAATAAGTTACTATTTGAGACCAGTTAGTTGGCCACTTAAGCATTTATGCCACAGCCCTGGTGTTATACCGGTGCTGGTGCGAGCCAAACTATGTCAGAATGAGGGCATGCATGCTACGAAGAGTTCGAGTCCGCCAGCACCGGAATACTCGAAGATTTGAGTGCGTAAGGAATTTATTTTGACCGGCAGTCCAACATAGCCAAACAACAGGTTAGTTGGCCACCCCGCCAACTAACGTATTGAGCTCCCAAATGGCGGTGGCCTGCAGCCAGAATCATATATACAGGTTATATTCACTATTTAAAACAGTTATGGTGTAGATATGAGGTATAGAAATGGGCAGAATACATGCTTGCAATCGACGGGAAATCTCGAAATTGGGGTCGCGGGATGAATGAGTGTTCTGCTACTCAGAAAAAGGCCGCGATGGGCCAAATTAGGATCCAGGCTACTTAATTGGAAGTATTTGGACATACCTGGATGCCCAACTCCATTCCAAGTTGCTGACATCTCCTCCAAAAAATCCGACTATCAGCACGACTGAAATTGGGTGATTTTGGACAATGGCCTCCAGAGCAATCAGAGGTCATTGGATAAAATCTCGAAAAGGGTCTCCGAATGAAGGATTGTATATTGCGAAGTCCTGTGTAAGGCTCCAGACCGATGGCATAGCGGTGTCGTGGACCGCGACGGTGCCAGCATGACTGACCTGCAAATGAAGTCGTGCTTTTCCCGGGTGTGTTAAGAGTGATAGTTCAGTCAGTTGCCATCCAGTATCTCTTCAGATGGAAAGCCAGCATTGGGGGATCCGAACGAGTCCCCAAAGTCGTATATCGAGGAAGAAATGGTGGAGAAATGGCGATGGCAAATGAGGCGAGTGGTGTGATTGATAAGAAATTGATGTCCCCACGCGTCGGATCCCGATCCGCGATGCCATAGCTCCCGATCAACCCATCACTTTCGGCTGAAATTTGGTCTGAACATTCGTTGGAGGTCGTATTCTGTTTATACATTATGCCCAGTCATAATTATGAAGCCCTGGTCTTATAGGAGTCAAGTGGCCAACTAAGTAGGGTGGCCAACTAAGGGGTCTCTAATAGTAAAAGCCTGCTGAAGTGGTGCAAGAGATAGCTGAGACATTATTGTTTTTGGTGTAAATGGTTGCCTCGGTCCCAGCCTTCTAACGGATCCGGAATGGCCCAAATCGAAGCCCAACCCGTGGAGAAATGCGGCTAACAAGTTATAGTTGAAACGTTGGCTGCAAATTTGAAGACATCCAAATTTTTGATATTACTGGGCAAGTAGGGTAAAGGCAGAAAGCACCGATGAATTCGCCTCGAACGCACCTAACATCAACCGTATTTATTGAGAATTGAGCGCTGGGCGTCGACGGTAAGGCGAGACATCAAAATTGATCTTATTTAAAAAAATTTGATGAGTGCCATTAGATATGCAAACAGCTGTAACTTATTTGGCTTATCACTACTACCTGCGTGAAGTAGGATGTTTACCGTGTCCAAATCCGTAGTCGAATCTATACCTGCGCCAACATGATACGTTGCCTCAAGGCTCATATCCGGAGACATGCGAGCCCGGATCATACACTCAAAATTAATATTGATCCGCACCCAAATATATCCAGAAGCCGAGATGCCTGAGGCTTCTTTTGAACCATGTGCTCGCTGCCTAAGGCGAGTGCAAAACGTTTTCGCTCCAACGATCTTAAGAACAACCCTCCGTGTCATCAAGGCCGTTCGACGCCCGGTCCGCATAATATTCGTTAAACATGTCTTTTTGCAACGCTCAGACGTAGTATATTCATTTAACAAACGGCGGCGACTTGGCTCCCTTCTCTTCCTCCCAAACCACCTCCCAAGTTCAGTTCATTTAAATTGACGCGTACATGGTGCATGACGAATATAAATTTTTGGACCTACTTGGTTGTGAGAGCATACGAAGTTCTCACCCACCCTTTTTAAAAAACTGTTTTAAAAAAAGATGTTCCTTCAGTAACCATGAAGCGGAGATAGTGTGTGGCGCACCGCGGCCTCAGTTAGGCAGAGGAAAATCAGATAAGCAGGCCGCAGGTCCAGGCTCGATTCTCAGTGTACATACTGTTGGATAGTTGTTAGGCCGCAGTACCGGGTTCGACCCTCTGTGTCCGCTGAGTTTAGCATGGCCGAAAATATTTTTTATTCAGAGGTTTTTTTTTTGTCACCGGGACATTTATTTATTCCGTAGATGTTGGATTACTTTCATTGCTTCTTTGGTCAGGGTCTGACCATGTTCCGGTGTGACTGTATAGCACACTGTATTCGCTGCTCCCTCAATATATTCAATTCGTGTCCGTCAATCCTCACTTCCGTATCCAAAAATTACTTCTTATACCCAGCCTCACTTCATCTCTCAGTAAGCGGGCATGGTGGACGGCGCACGGTGGCACTACATATTCAAACAACATCGGTAGGCTGCAGGTCCGGGTTCGACTCCCGGTGCCCGCACTAGCTCTCCTCGAAACAAACCTTTTTACTCACCTCAGACGTCTCAGACACCCATCTGTCAGGGACAATCTCGAATCGGTTGCAAGGATCATTCAATCTCCAAGGACTTTTTTTTTTGATGGAGGTGCATGTGAGTGCATACAGATTGCCTCCCTATCTCCGCTCCACAAAAGGCCCTGTGAAAGTCAAGCTAGTTTCAGAGAGAATGAAGTGGACATGGAACACGGCGCACCGCTGATTTGTGTGCTCGTAAACTAGTAGGGAAACTCGAAACGTTTATACCCAAGCACAAAGTTCGCAGATATAAGCAAAAGCCTATGCAACCGACCAACAAAGCGCAAGATATAAGATGTAAGATTCCCAATAGAAACCGACGAGTGCCAGTCCCTGCTTCAGAGCCTTTAAAAGGTTGAAGGGAGAGGTTTTGGGTAGGAGAAAGTGTGTAGAGTACTGTGTTGCGGAGATATTGCTTGCTTGCGCAAAACAATATATCCAAAACGGTAGATATTATAATGCTTCACAGCGACAAGGCAAGGTTGAGTGTCTGGAGACGATAGGCGCAATACCCAAGAGCGTGTGGTGAGTTTACAACTCCGTGGGGTTTGTGGTGTGTGTGGATATAATCCAAAATAGCAATTCCGACGTCCAAGGCAGTGTTCTAGTAGCAGTCTGACGTCCAAGGCAGTGTTCTCGTAGCAGTTCTGACGTCCAAGGCAGTGTTCTCGTATCAATCCGACGTCCAAGGCAGTGTTCTCGTATCAATCCGACGTCCAAGGCAGTGTTCTAGTATCCCATATTATTCCGATTCAAACATACATCCAATAAAGTAAGATTTCGAGTTGCCACACCCTTCTATATGGTAGTGCACAACCAGAAGATCCCAGATCACCCCGAATCGCAAGCATAAGCCTACTAGTCGTGGGGTGATGCTGTGTCCTTCTAATAGTGACGACCTACTACTTATATACAAGTCCCAGAATAAATAAGTACAAGCAGATATAAGAAAATATGAGTCAAACAGCCGCGTATCCGTCGGATAGTTATCCGGTATAGTGAATCCAGTCGGTGCCATTGGCTGCAAGTCTCGAGCACGCCATATTACAGTCATCCGCCAAGACAGAACCTCAGTCAGAAATCAGCTGAAAGGCCAAAAGCTCAGTCAGCACTGAGCTTATTTCCAATCCGCCCAAACCGACATCAGATACAGGATTGATTCCTATATCCTGCACTCCTCGCTCGTTTCCCTCCAGCTAGCATCCCTATACCGTGTAGTATAGTGTCGCAGCTTTCAAACGATATCCCTCACAGCTTATATCCATAATTGGGTCCTTGGTAGAAGTCTAGTCTGACCCTTTGGGAATCTCCGATCAGGCCGGCAACTACGGGTATAGTTGAGCCCGTCGGGTATAGTCGGGTATAGTCCGAAACAAGGTCCGTCCGGTGTTCTAGGTCGTCATCTGATCTAATGTCCACTTCTCTGAAACCCTAATGTGTCACAACGGTATTGCAGCTCAACCCAATTCGTTACTTGGGCTTATACCCAACATAACCCAATTGAATATGAAGTTACTCATGATGTTTAGCGGACTACACAAACCCTTACATGTTTCAGGGCGAGTGCAGCCAGTCACCTCGACGTATTACCCCCTCGATGACCCGTTACTCTGTGATCTTGGCCCAACCAGCTACCTCTGAGTCTCGGTACTAGTTCTGGATATAAGATAATATGTATTGCAAACACAACTGAAAGGCGCAAAAATAGCGTGTTCCACTAGTGGTTATCTGCAAGGCTTATCACCGCGGTCCTTCATTCCATGTAGGTTCGACTTCCGGTGTCCGCACCACCACTTTGTAGTTTTTTGGTTCATCCTCCGTCCGCTTGGCAAGGTGCTTCTGCTTTGAATATTCCTTCAATAGGTGTGCCAGAGTCCTTGCATCTCTGAGCCCCTTCTGCTCTGAATTCCCTCTACAATCATGCCTCAAACCTAAACTCAAACTCAAGCTCGCTTCATGCAGAAACAGCGGACATGGTGTACGGTGTACCGCGGCCCTACCTAGATAACTCAGCGCGGAGCAGGCCGCAGATCCGGGTTCGACTCCCTCTGTCCGCATTGACTGGGAACTTAGGCATCTTTTTACTAAAAGGGTGTTTTTGTGGTTGGATTTACTCCTTACCTCCGGATCCTGGCGCACATCTCCCAGACTTCCACATGTCAGCGTAGTTTTGGCAGGTGCAACTGTAACACGATCTTGTTCCCGATGCTTTGATATCGTTTGATCCAAACCGCTGCCTGCCTTCCCAAATCGCCTCTCAACCCTAAATTGAATTCATATAAAAATAAACGGACATGGTGCACGGCGCACCGCGGCATGACATCGTCTTTTCAGCCTCTTTGCATGCCGCAAACCCGGGTTCGACTCCCGGTGTCCGTACTGCGTGGGTATAGATTTTTTTCTGTCGTCGCTCTTTTTCTTTTACATGAATCCTCATGAATATTTTACATGAGTCCTCAGCACGTTGGCTAGAAATTTGGCCGATATGTGTGTATACAAACCTTCTTCCCTCTCCCACAAGGCCCTTTCACACCCACCCTCTCTTCATCTACAGATAATCGGACATGACCGCTGGAGTGGGCTTGAGATCTCTGAAAGCCCAGATGGTCTGCGCTCGGCTGTCGAAGACTCCGGGACTGCGAAATCGGCCAGGCAATGGAAAAAGCACAGAGGAAGATGATGATGACTATGTACAAACAATCCTAATATGGTTACTAGCACCGCCACACCGCGGCACCACATGGCTACACAGCATGCAATGTGCAGGCCGCAAGCCTGGATTCGATTCCCGGTGTCCGCACTATGCATGAATAGACTGTGCGGCATATATATATATTTGATTCCTCGAATCCTCGACACGGTTCTGCGAGCGGACATGGCCTGCGAGAGCGCAACGAAAATACGGAGCGTGCCGGGCAACGATACAAATTAAATCGTCAGAGCACACCCACCGTGTGCGTGCGGGGATACGGTTAGCGTCCACTCGCAGCTTGCTAACGTCGACGCCCGGAGCGGGTACTCATGGTCGTCGTTGAGCAACGGGCGGAGCGGATCAAGTCCTTGCGAGCGGATGTCGTTGACGAGTGGCGCGGTGACTCGTCGTAAGCGAGTCATCGTCGACGCACAACGTCGTCGTCGTCGCGCTCATAATTCATTGTCGTCAACGCGCCGAAGAGCTATCCTCGTTGCGCGGAACGTCGTCATCACGGCGGATCGCTGGAGTGTCAGAGCACAGATGAATATAGACATGATACAAGCAGATGCGATTATGCGTGCGTGCGTGCGCGTGTATATGCGGAGTAGGTACTCTAGTGTTCGTATTGATAATAATAGTGCCCGTAGAACCGAGTGGAAGTAAAGTAAGGACCCGCGAGGAGACCCAGATGTACATATGGAGGGAGGGAGGGTGTGCGGATGGTGCGATGGAGGATGGAGGATGATGGATATAGGTATGCAGTCATTCTGCGTACGTGCGTGCATGTGTTATGATATAGATAGGATAAATAGGAAGGAGCGAGTCCGATTGATACCCAGAAACGAGGAACCCGATGAAGGAAAGGAATGATGCTCAAGAAAAAGAACGACGTCGAATGCGTGCGTGTGGGTGGTGATGAGAGTCTGACGTGCGAGTCCGACGGGAGCTCAGGAAAACCCAGAGAAATGATGACGAGGGCACCTAGGGATAAGAAACGCAGGTCAGCGAAGGTCCCGCGATATTACAGGCCAAACACGCACCTATTAGGACATTCGTCTGACCCTCGCGCCCTTCTTATCACGTGGCCACCCTTCCACATCGCGTACCTGCCTCGGCGTAATCGTAAAACGCGGGTTCTCCCTCATCTTATCCTCATATACCTCTTCCCATCGCATCCGCCACACAGACAAAAGACAATCAATCCCCGGAAAAACGAGCAATGTGCAGAGCCCCGTGACGCGGAGGACCGTGAGCGGCGAGGGGTGGAGGTGGAAGAGCGGGAGCAGGGCGGAGGTAAGGAGGAAGTAGGTGATGGCGCTGAAAAGGAGCTCGAGGAAGCGCGTGGCGGTATGCGCCTGCGTCTGCGTTGATGTCGGCATCGGCGTCTCCAGGTGCATCGATAGCAGGCGGCAGCGTCATCGTGGGGCAGGCGACGGCGGCAGGGGACGGAAGGCGACTAGGACGCGGACGTGGGTGCAGGAAGAAGAAGAAGAAGAAAAGGCGTGTGCCGCGGCGTCGGCAGTGTCTCGGCTAATCCTCGCGCGCCGATCAAATGGCTTGGCGCTGTCAACATCCAGAATTAGCCGCTATACATTTTGGTGTATCGCTCGTGGACTCGGAGGGCGTAATTCGTTGACGGTGTCGAGACAATGAATGCAGAACTTAGGCCTGGGCATTTCCTAATTCCCCTTGGCTCCGAGCTGATGCATAAATTCTTGATAAATTTTACCCTGCGTGCGGACAGGTCGACTGGAAGTAGGTTTAGCGCGGCCCGAGAGCGAAAATAAACGACAGGAGACGACAGGTAGACCGGTCCCCGTGACTGCATCGCACATTGGCAGTGCAAAGCTGCAGATTCCCCGCTCTTCCTTCTCCTCTATGCCGCCACTCGCTCGCCAGCCGACGTTACGAGTCCACGCCATTTTCGTCACTTCGTTACTTCGCGTAGCGTTGTGAATCTTCGTAACTTTGATGGGAATTTGTGAAAGTTCGTGAGTTTGATGCTATTCTGTGAAAGCTCGTGAGTTTATATTCCGGGCTTGTCCAGCGGCAACTGTCCGGCACAGCACGGAGTGATGGGAATCAACAGGTTGCCGCAATGGCCGGTTAGGTTTGGGTTAGCAGGTTAGTGGTTAGAGGTCTGGATTAGTTGGTTAGGAGTTAGTGGTTAGAGGTTAGAGGTTAGTGGTTAGTGGTTAGAGTTAGAGTTAGTGTTAGGATGAGGGATCTATATATAAAAAACATGCCCGGCTTGTGTGAAGGAACAGTGATGGCCGATCTTAGTCGAGGTGACGAGCTTTCCCAGCTATTTGCGGAAGTGACGAGCTTTCACGCTTTTCTATCAAAGTCACAAACTTTCTTGTTCCTAAGCGAAATAAGCGAAATAAGCGAAGTAACGAAGTGACGAAGGTGGCTACTACTCCGACGTTACAGAGCATACATAGCGACTGGTCCAGGAATCTACCGGGCCCAACGCTCGACCTCCATGCAGCTTCAAAGCCGTTGATGAAGTTCTTGTACCACCGAGCGGTCCTGGACTTCATCAAGAAACATCGGGGTATCCCACTCTCTAGAGAGGTTTTGGAGATTCACTCCAGCTATCTCATGTATGGAATTTGACTGACATCTTTAAACTCTGGATGACTGATCGTATAGGTTCAAATATGTATCGTCATCGACGAAAACTGCGATTCTGAGGGAGCTTGGCGAGAGAGCCTTCGCTTCGGAAGACGACGCGCGTGCTTTGGTCGATTCGGATATCTTGGATGGGTTCATTAGCTGGTGGTCCGATACCAATCCACCGGGACCCAGGACCGACCTTCATGCAGCCTACAAGCCGCTAATGGATCTCTTGTACCACAAGCAGGCACTAAGCTTCATTACGAAAAATCACAATATCCTACTCTCCAAAGAAATTTTGGAGATTTACCATAGCTACCTGACGTATGATATTTGTCAAATTCCTTGGAACTCCGACGAACTGATTTGACTAGGTGGCAATATTTATCACCTTCAACCAAGGCCGAAATTCTGGCAGAACTTTGTTACAGAGCTTGGGTGTCAAAAGAGGACTCGCGTGCACTGGTGGATTTAGATTTGTTCGATCACATCGCAGAATTGCTTGAATCGCCACAACCGAGTACCAGGGAACATGCCTGCTCCATGGTCTGTCAACTTGCTTTGGCTCGGTACGAGGCTACGGCTCTGGCTGTATCAAACTGTTGTGTTCGACTCGTGTCTCTTTTGGGGTGAGTCCCCATTATTTCTTTTCGGGCAATATCGGTGACGTCAATGTAGCGACCGGGACGAGCTCGTCGTCCAGAGGGCTCTCAACGCACTGGATGCGATGGCTCAATCGCCGGATAGTGCACAGGCTGCCATGGATGCAGAAGCACTAGACCATGTCGAGGAACTGTTCGAGTCACGAAGGCCCTGGATCCGCAAATCGGCATGCTTGATGGTGGGGACCCTGGCCCAACATTTAAATGTTTCCGCAATCTGTTGCGTGCACCTCGTGGAGCTGTTGCGGTGAGTCGCCACTCCTCCTTCTCAGACAATGGGCCTCATGTCAAGGCAGCGACGAAGAGGGCATTGTTGAGAGTGCTATCCGGGCACTCGGTAACACTGTCCAATGGCCGGATGGTGCGCAGGCTGCCTTGGATGCAAAGGTGCTCGACTACGTCACAGAATTACTTGAATCACAGAACCCACGCATTCGGCAACTGACATGCTTGACGGTGGGGAAGTTGGCGAATCGCTTCTCTGCAGCAGTGGCTGTCTCGGCATCACACTGTTGTGTCCGACTCGTCTCCCTGTTGCGGTTAGTGTTCACAATTCCTTCATCGACAAGCCCCTGATGCCAGTATAGCGATGAGGATTCGGTTGTCGTCGAGGAGGCTATCCAGGCAGTGTGTTCGCTCGCCAGATGGCCGGGCGGCGCGCAGGCTGTTGTGGATTCCAAGATGCTCGATCATGTCACGCCGCTGTTGGAATCACCGAACCCCCGGATCCGGGCACAGACTTGCTCCACAGTGGGGAACCTGGCAGAGCACGACTCTACAGCATTAGCTGTCTCTAGATCAAACTGTTGTGCATCCCTTGTGTTGCGTTTGCGGTGCGTCTCCAAGGTCTATTCTCAGGCAAGATCCTCATTTCGAGGTAGCGATCCATATGCTCAGGTCATTGAGGATGCAGTGTATTCACTCTCCCAGATCGCCTATTGGCCGGACGGCGCCAAAGCTGCCGTCGAGGCCAATATACTCCACTATGTCGTGGAATTGCGTAAATCACGGCATTACCATGTGCGGCATTGGACGTGCGAGATGCGGAAAAATTTAATGTCCCACGAGTTCACTGTGCACCAGTCTACTATGGGTCCGTGTATGCGGCTCGTATCGCTCTTACAGTGCGTTATAGGCTGGAACCTGAAACACATACTAATTTGTGCTCACTTGTACCAGGCACCCCTCATCTGTGGTTCACGAAAGCGCGGTCTCCGCGCTCGCGACCCTCAGCCAATCATCCGCAGCCGGAGTCATGATCTCTATCATCAACACAGAAATTTTTGAGCACGTTGAGGAGCTCATGGTGTATGGGGATCGCGATCTGCAGTTCAAAACATGCCTAATCCTGAGGAACCTCGCTCGCTACTCCCAGGCAATCCTCCATGCTTCAAAAGAAATTT